TTAATAATTAATCTTCTCGCACCAGTTAGGAGGTCTTGGTTTCTTAGTGGCCCACTGTATGCGGTTCCTATCGTCGAGTTTGCAGCCCTTGTTCGAAATCGGGATAACTTTCCCCGTGTCAAAGATCTCTTGTTTTGAGATGCCTGCATCGCCGTCCGCAGGAACCCAAAGGAATGGAGCCTGGCTTGTGACTGAAGGCGGAAAATAAGCATGTAGCTCAGCCTCCTGATGGTGCTCCAGTCCTTTGCGGTCCTCGTGATGCATCAACTGGTCCACCGTCGCGTAATCGGCGTAGATCTACGGCTTGAGCCACTTGGAGACGGAACTAGCCTTCTTTCGGTCCCCGCCGGTAGCTCTTGGCCCAAGCTTGTTGGTCAACTTGCTCTTCCTAGCTAGCACCTGTGGAGGTGGGACCGACGCCATTCTGGGCTTGCCTATCCTCTTCGTTCTGTTGTTGGCTTCGGTCAACTATATTGTCCTGAAACTGAAGTCAAGGAGGAATGCTGTAAAGGAGAGGGTTAAGAACCTTGGCTAGAGAGATATGGCATAGAATAGTAAGTGCGAGAAGGCCAGCCATCAGAAAAGCAGGCCTCGCGGCTTTAGAAACAATGAGCATTCCAACAAGGCATGTTTCGGCTAGATACACACCCGATAAGAGCTGTTTCAGGGCCTGAGGGTAGATCAGGCCACGGGTGTCGACGTCAGCCTCTGTAACATACAGCACATTGTAACGGTAGGCGACATAGAACAACCCAATGCCGATAGTCGACCGGAGTAGCAGAAAAGGGGCAATCACAGAGTAGACAATGCCTAAAAAGAAGTTAGCTGGGGTAGGCTGTCTTAGCTACCTGACTTCTCACTAAGAACAGCCATGTTCGTGTAAATGGGCATGAGACTTCCCCATGAAAGAGTACTAAGTGTCGTCCACCTGCGGTACATAGATCGGGGTGTCCTGTTGGCCAATCTAAGTGAAAGGGTGAATATGATGAACTCCGATAACCTGAGTCAAAACATTGGTGGCGATGGTAAGACTTCGAACAATGAAGAACGAAATATAGAAGTTGGAGGTGGTAGGGATTGAAGATGAAAGAATGCTAAACACATTGCTGGGATTCTGCAGGATGGTTACTACAGACGAAACAAAGCTGTTAGAGAGCGTCTGGACTAAGAAGACTTGGAGGATGTGAAAAACGAAGTACGCCTTCTGAGTGAAGAGCTCAGCTTGCGACAGTGAATCACGACCAGACCTCCTGGCACAGAGACGCATGAACGACGGCACCGATGACATCAGAAGAGATAGCGCAATGGAGGCAACAGGCCACAAACAGCGCCAAGAATACCCTCAAAGATGAGTCAGCGCAACGATAAACATGAAGACGTCTGTCCAGTCTACCTGAAGAATGCTCTGTATCCAGGTTAGGCCTGGGAGCGCCTTGATGATGTTTACTTGTGCAATGACACCAACAATAGTCACAGGAACAGCCCAAAACGCAATAAGACCAGTAATGATAGCGTATATAAGCTACCTGCGCTATGAGGCAATTTATTCCTTTATAACCTAAACAACTTATTTAAGTTTCTTCTTTTGTTTAGGTATATATTTAGACACTATATAGAGCATACATGTTTTAAAGCGGAAAGTATAGTAAAAGAATGGGCCTGTCCGATGTCTCACAATTTTGCGTCCAACCTACAAGTTATGATTGCGACTGTGTTGCTATTTTTATATGTACCAGGTAGCGTAGCTTGACCTGCTCGACCTTACGGCAAATGAACATGTTGTAATCCAGCAACGCTTCTTGGACTTTGGTGGGCTTAGGCCCGAAATCGGTATCTGGCTAAACCGATGTCAGTGGTGTACAGATAGAAGTGATAGAGACCTGTCGAAGAAAGTTCATGACTTACTATTTTAATACCCTTAAGATTTTCATGTTTTTTGCTGCCTTCAGTAAACCTCTTGAAAGCGTTCCTACCCTGGCAGCACGTACTGTCCGTCTCTGTATCATTACCAGCGCTCTCGCTAGCTTTAGTGACCTTCTTCAAAGGATAT